CACAGAAGGTCATTTAAGCATATTACAGACCCATAAAATGTAAAAATCTGCGTAATGGATGGATTGTGCATTATGCCGCATGTACTTCCTCTCGTCATTGATTCGTTCACTCTCCTGGCCTGTTTCAGTGGACTGGACCAGAAATTGCTCTCGACGCCTGGCACTCTGCAGTTTTCTCACTTAGTCTCTCTCAACACCTCATGCGTAACCACGCGGTCTTGTAATTTCTAAACAGGACAGTATATTTCTATAATAGATTGTTTAAATGTTTTACCACAGTTAAGGATTTTAATATTTGCCTGTTGGTGCTATTTTTAAGTTATGAACAGCGTGCTTGTTTTTTGACAGAAGAGTTTTATGCATCTGTCTTGTTGGGTCTCCTTGTTAAACAGATATTTGAACCTTATTGTACAAAGCGAGTAATTCGCTTATGATCACGGCTTACGTTTCCAGGTGAGACTGACTGGAAGATCATAGCCATCGACATAAAGGATCCAAATGCCCAGAAGCTAAATGGTTTGTAAACTTGTGCTTTTCTGTGCTAAACCCATTGCCAACCAATTCTTTTCAGATATTGAAGACATCGAAAGCGTGAAACCTGGACTACTGAGGGTAAATGACACGTGTCAGAGGTTGTGCTTCTACTTTCAATACAAGACTACCTGATTTAATGCAGTAATATTGTTTATCCAGATAACTGGTTTGCGTGTAATATTATTTATTAAAAAAACACGTTAGCGTGTCCTAAAATCTTTACCGTAGTTTCGAAACCTTTGGCTTTGCAAACAAAAGCTTTGACAATGTATGAGCATATCAATAAATCTTCTGCGGACATGAACAGTAAATACCATAATAAACCGAGAGAGCTGTAAACAAATTTGGAAACTGCGATGTGAGAACTGTCTTCTTCTGTTAGGTAGATACCCTGGAAAATATATAGCAGTGTTCCCTGGAACTGGAAAAAAGTATTTCATGCTGAGAACAACTGACATTCAGTACGACAGTTTTGCATTCTCCTACTAGTCAAATGCGAATTATTGTCTTCGTTTTCAGTGCTGCTCATTTTTATGTGTGAATTAAGATTTATCGGTTGAATTTTACTAAGGTTATAATCAGGTGTTTCTAATTTTAGGCTACTCAAGAATGGTTCAGAATATACAAGATACCGACTGGCAAGCCAGAGAATAAATTCGGCTTTGGTGGCCAGTTTAAAAACAAGGTACGTTTTTCAATTGTCTGTTTCCTGATTTAATCACATGTTTGGATCCTACTGTATGTATTCTTTAGGACAGTCACTGACAGTTCGGCAACTTATCGAAAGTTTGGTAGTTTAGCTTTTAAGCAAAATTTCTGTGATTGAAGCAGTGACAGATGTCTAGTTGTCGGTCGTCTGTGCGCGAAACTGACAATCGAATGACTTTCGGTTCTTGTTCTTCTGAGGTAAAAAACCGAATACCATTTTTGGTGTTCCTAAATAATTGCAGATAGATCCTTTGTCAGTTAGACACCGTGCAGCTGCAGGAGAGAAGAAATGTGGCGACTCTACCATTTTAAGTTAACTATGTAGCTACAGGCAAATGGTAAAATACGCTATTTCTTCACAGCCCATCAGGTCCAAAACGGGGAGATGTGCCTCTTTACTCAGTTAGCAGCAGTTAAGTTCGGTGCCGAGATAGTGCTAGTAATATTCACCTGAATGCCCATATTTAAGGAGGAGGGACCATTGAAACATCATTTGATATCAGGTTGGTCTAAGCAAACCCTTGTCCCATTTAAGACAAAGGTATCTATTGAAAAATTAAGCAAACGAACGTATTGCCAAACGGAATTTGCGCCAGTCCTGATTTAATTAATCGTTCGATTCCAATAAAAGTCTCATTTTGCAATATCTATCTGCTCTCTGTTGCCTGGATAATAAGGCAGTATCATGGGCTTCTTTAAATAAAAGGAAAGGAAAGCTTGCAACCGTGAGACGTCTGTAAGTCTCCCTTGCATTTCCCTGATAAGCGCTGTTCGAGGCCCCTTCCTTTTTCTAAAGCTTGTGGTGCGGCGCTGATCTTCGTTTCTAGTTCGTTATTCAGGAGTGGTTTTTTGGCAAATGTCTGCAGCTATGTGTTAAGTGTAGCGTGTGGATTCCTGTATCTTGTTTCAGTAAGCGTTACTTTTTTATCCACTTCAAAAAACTGTAAGCGAAGCTCTAGCCAAAGAGCTGTCCACAGTGCGAAGGACGCTCTTCCGACTTAGTTTTCTCGGAGATCGAAGATGACCGTCATAAATCGGCTCAACGAATAGCTTAACTCAGTCCAGCTTCCAAATGATCGCAAAGTTTCTCGTTAAACTTTCGAAATATTTTGTTCACTGATTAGTTTTCAATGCCATCTGAAGCAACAGTTTGAAAATATTTTCTTATATTCTCCATTCTCTGTCATTCCTTTAACTTTTTGAGTTGAATTTCAAGTTCCACAATGCCAGATGTGCAATAAATTCGAGCCAGCTGGTCATCAGTCTGCTTCCAGTCGTATTTCTTGTATTTTTACGGCACCTCTGCTATTCAGATCTTCCTTTCCGTATCCTGGTTCTTTATGCTTAGTAGACAATTTAAAATTCTCTGACATTTCTTCAAATTCATAAAGTTGTTGAATGATTGCGCGATTTTATGGCAATAATAATATTCGCAGTTTTCAGGCATTCGCTCATGAGATCATTTCTAACACCCATGAATACTGGAAGTCACTGATTTGTTCGCAAGACACCGGTGAACTGGTATGGTAAGCATTTATGAGTGATTTTGCATGTTTTCACACTAAGACTGATTTTCTGGAATCATTTTTACACTGTAACTTAAATTCGATTTAAAAATGTATTTTATCAAAATCAAAATGTTTACTTCTTAAGCCAGCAACAACTAGCATTTCTCAACTGACATGACCCATTGGTGTAACTGTGTAAGCATAATACGCGACAAGCACAGACAAACACACAATAGTAGGAAAAAGATGAAAGAACGAAGACAGAACAAGCAGGCTAATGGAAAGAAAATTATTTTGCGATTAACTGGTATGTGAATTGGTTAACAGATCCAGCCTTTTGAATTTTTATCCTGCAGAATCTAAGCTATCTGCATGGTCACAGGTTTTCTCTTTGCTTTAGTTCTTGTATAGATGCAGACTTATTTGTACCTCTTAAGGTGAAACCTCGAAATTGACGTTAATGTCAAAGCAGTTCATTTTTTGAGGGACTTGAATTTTGATAGAATATGCACTTGCAGTTCAACTTCCACTTAGTCTTGCATCGTTTTGATAATTCATGTTCGTTGAGCTTAATGGCACAGTGCCTACGGTTTTCTTCGAACTCTAGAAGTGCCTGATTGGGAGACAATCTTTGTCTTAATTCCATTTAGCAAGGAATCTATCCATGATTGCTTTGGTACAGTCAGTCGACAAATGGACAGCAAGTCTTGCTGCACATAATGGTATTCTGATGCTTGGTTTGTACCAGAATGGACGAGGTGTACGGTCATCCTGTCCGATGCGAGCGCTTCTTTTGGACACATTTCGCCTTGACCCACGTGATAGTTGACCGTACACTGTGAAAGGCAGCACAGGGTGTAACCCAGAAGAAACATTTGTTTGGAAACATCCAAATGCAGCAACTGTAATGTTATGATCAGATTATGAAAAGGAACAGGGACCGTTTTGGAGAAGATAATATTCTATAGTAACTCTTCCTAAGACCGGGTAACGGTAGAATCTCTGGGGATGAAACTGACAGACATTTCCAAATTTATTACCATTACAGAATACAAAAAGTAGGTCAAAATACCACGCGCGCTAAATGACAAACGGTAAGATAGTGATGGATGCAGGGACACGGGTTGGAGGTCCTGAAGAATGACGAGACATTATGCAAAGTAACGGAAGAAGTCGTAGAAAATTTACCTTACAGACTTAAAAATTGCATAAGTAATTTACCAATTGTTATATATAGGAAGCAAAGATTCCACTTTCTGAATGCTACACACGTAGATATGTGTAAGCCATGTAAAGGCTTTAGATTAACCGCGGCTCATTTCAAAGGATCCTTAAAATTGTGCAACAGAGAGGTACTATCATTTGGTGCTAGCTATTCGTGCTGGAATTTCTGATTTCAGTTGGTCACCATCAACCTGTTGCTGGATGAAAGCCTCTCCAAGACTTTGCCACAAACTTTGTTTTCTGTGGTTTGTGTCCTTTTTTTCATTGAATTTCTTTAGCATCTCCAGCCCATCGATGTGGAGGTCTTCCTACCGACCGTTTGCTCTCTCTCTTGGAATCCAGTCAGATGTTTACCTGGATCAGCGGTGGTCGGTTCCTCCTGTAATGTGCTCTGCCCATTGTCTTTTCACCCTCACTCGTGCAATAATGTATCATACTCTTGCCTGTGCTCTTGACCATTCATTGGTTTTCCTATGTTTTCCTGTTATTTCCTACGTAGATTTTTCTATGCTGTGACGAGAAGCCTACGGATCCCGCTTTTCGCATAGACTTTGCTTCGGGAGCACATTATTATTATAGTTACCACAATTACTTATAAAACGGTGCAGTTGTTCATGATTGCCTATGAAATCTGTTCTTCGTGTCTTTAGTTTCCATCTAACCAACTAAGCAATTGGGAATTAAGATTTTTTTAATTTTAATTTTAGCAAAACTTGGACCGTTGGCAGTGCCGTTTTGAAGATCGATCAAAACGATGCAAGTGCGATTGTCAAATCCACGCCTGACCCGGGACCATCAGCTTCGATACCTCCTGAAACCGATTCTTGGTTCTATGTTCATTAGCCTTGTCACTGGGCATTTCTGAATTTTACAGTCTCTGTTTACTTGTCTGTGGTGAAGCACTGTCTACTCGTGGTCATCGCTCTCGGTGGTTTCTTCTTCTGCTTATATAAAGTTTGCACTGATGGTTAACTTAATGTATGTCAACATAGAAAAAGAATTTGCAGTTTGGAAACTGCTTAAAATATGCTGTGATTTGAATGTTATACAATTTAGTATTAGATTGTCTAGTGCGTCACTTTTACGTACTTTTACGATGACTGAACCATTTAAAATTGCCTTTACTCTGCAATAATTGCAATTAATTCTTACACTGTAGCTAAGGATTACTGTTACTAATGCAGTTTTCCTTACAGAAAAGTGCAGCGGGATAAATGTACTACATTGTAGTAAATAATGAAATGAGTGCATCTTCATGTGTAAATTGATAGGAGCTGATAATAGTTTTACCTTCAAATAGCGAATTCCATCGGCTTCTGCGTATTGCAGCATCACTGATCTTTCTAGGTTTTATGCCAGCTATTGGAATTTGTAGATGAACATTATGAGAATTAACTATATTACATGGTTTGGTGCTGTGCTTCTTAAACGGGTGGTTGCGTTCGGTCAAAATTGTGACTCAGAAATTAAATTCTTAGGCACCCCTTCAAATCATAACAATGGGCAAAATTTAACTATTCATTCATGCTAATATTTTAACACTTCTGAACATCTAGGTAATTCTTACCGATGCTAATCTCGTTCCTGGCCGTGTATGGCAAGCATGTTCATTCATATATCTGTAACTGTGCTTGGAAGATGTACGGATAATGTAGGAATTGTACAGTGATTTGCGTAAAAAAAAGATTTTAAAGTGTATCATTGGCTAATGCGTAGAATTTCATTTTCAAAATAAAATTTTAATATGCAAATTTGTACTCGTCCAACTTCGTTGCTGCTCTGGTATGCCCAACTGGCTTAGAATTATTCAGGGCCTTGTCTTTTCTATATTAGTATTTAATGTACTTAGGAACTCGAGCGATGTAGAGTATGAAACTTTATAATGATGTAACTGACGTTTGATATCAAATCTTGAATAATTCTATGTTAGTTGAAGGCTGATTTTTGATGAATTTTACTAGGAACACGGCACTTTTTAAATTGCAGATCAAGAACATAAATGTCGCACGATGAAATTCGGACGTCAAAAAGTCTGGTGAAATATGTGGATGTAATTTTCCTCAACATGAACTAGTCCGCGAAACTTTTTTGCCGTTTTCATGAAACCGAGACATTCAGCATATTGCATTCGTCGTTTCGTATAAGCTGATGCGTCAATGAGAGCGAAAAATCATTGACGTATGGAAATGGTGCACAGTCGCATGCATGCACAGCTTCAGTCGCCTTTTTCACCATCAACGAAGCTGTGCTTAACTTGATGTATCAGACCTTGACTTGACTTGTGCTATAGTCAGTCTTAGAATATTGACAAACCAGGCAGTCGATTTAATGTTCAATTATGAGGCACTTCTTCCGGAGACGATCCAAAATAATAGCGATATCCTATCGAATCCCTTATGACGTAGAATGCTATGCTATAAATGATTAATAAGTATTGAAGCATGCCTGAGTGGATGCATTTTGAGGACCATAGCGGTTAATGAATTGCGGATATAGCTTAAAAAAACGTTCCTACTTAAAATCGTAAAAACAGAACATCGTACGGCGTCTCAGAATTCCTTCGTGGACATGCTAAAAACAACTCTTAATTACGAAAGTGGAAATAAACTGATATTCAACCTGATACAAAATTTCTCTTTAACCATTCACAACTTCTACAATTCAGTGCGACATTGAAATGCTGCT